TAATGCGTGTCAGAGATATTTCTATTTACTTGTAACTTTGATATGTCGATCATTTTTCTGCTACGCGGATTTGATCAATATTTCGAATCTGGTCTGTAATTGAACGGTGTGAAACCGTGCTCTTTAGTGAAAGTTGGAATAGGAATGCGTAGTTTCACCTATAAGAATAAAACGGACGATCGAATGTTTCATAAAATCACGTTACCCGCGCTCTCTTTGTAAAGTAATCTCGATAGGAATATCATTTTTCGATACGAATCTAATCTGGCTAGTCATCTGTGCGTAGTTTGAAATCAGCTATTATATTGTTCCCGTGTAATGAGAGTAAAAGTATTCGGTGGGAAGTAGTTACCGTTGTTTCCCACGCGCATCGTTTTCGCTTTCGTCGATATTATTCGTTGCATTTACATTCAATAAACGTCCTGCCATCGAGCACACCGTGCGATTATACCGCGAGCAAGTAAAAGTTAGGAACGAAGTTCGTCTTAACCTACGTAGTGAAACAGTTGCACGCAGTTACGGAAGTGGCGTCATTCCCATCCCAATATGGCGGACGTTCAGCAGAGTAAACAGAGTGGCGATCACACCAGTTCGTATGTGGGTAAGTGCCTCTATTAATTTACGTTATTCTGCAGTAATTTTATGATAACAATAGACGAAACAGTATTGATTGTTGCGAAATACGTTTGATAATTAATGTAACGCGGCCCCTGGAGTGTCTCTGCCAGCTGTAACCGCACACCGTTATACCTTCTGCCTCTTTTTTTGTTTTGTCAACAGTTTAAATAGATTTCCGACTTAACCGGGTAAGTAATATCATTTTTTATTAGACTGCTTAAAATTTTTTTTAGTGGGAAGTCGTTACATGTCATGATACTCGGACGTGCCGTGTGAGATGATGCCAGAAGTGTCGTAGTAAATCGTTATTGAATATTCTGTGCATCTAACTACGTGAATCATGCATGTGCAAGCATTAGTTACAGACGTATTACTTCATAACTGTTGTGCAGAGGCTGCATGCGTGCTATAAAAGTGCGAATCTCGATAAAAACGCCGAGTAATGTTCGCGATCGAGGAGGTTATAGTTGACACGTAGTTTTCGTCACTGGCATGAGACATTCTTAGTTCTCGCAACAACGAGATGACACACCGTAAGCAGCGTAATAGATTGTTATGCATTCGTAATTATGTGCAGTAACGTGATATTCTGTCAAATGAGGATGACGTAGCCTCAAAGCATGGCAGGTAGATGCTGCCCCCTGCGGAAAGAATTTAAAACTGAATTTCTTAAAACGAGGTAATTTCAAACGACTAATCCAATCAGTCGTTCGCCCTTGTCTTTCATTACTCGGCAGAATTACGTACTTAATTAAGTTTTTATAAACTCGATCAGATCGATAATATTCCATCAACATTTCTTCAAACTACACGTCGTAAATGTATGCTTCATTTCATTTAATTATATGTCCCATCAATGATTACACGACTGCCTTGAAATACATTTCATTATCTTTGGTGTTAGATTGTTAATTGCAATAAATGAGGAAATGCATGGTTACATTATGTATAAACGAGAAAGTGTATATAACACAATAGGATACATTTGTTTTTCGTGTCGTGTTCGCTAATTATGTGAAAACACGCTTGATACATTATTCAAACCAGGTAGATCCTTTAATATTTTGCTAAATTTTATCCCACATAGCTTGATCCACGATTTATCGTGAGTTACTCATATTTCTATATTTTTATCGTGCGCCTTTGTTGCTGATCATCTTCACGACCAGGAAATATATTACGAAACGTATTCCTTTGAATGCAAAATTATGTATACGTGATAAAATAATGTCGAAGGCAGTGACCCCGAACTTATGATCGCTGTTACATAGTATGCTCGCAAAGCACGAAGTCTGATATGAAAAAAAATTGTTCAGACGTTGCTCTCATTTTATCTGTATAGTTATTTATCATTTAATCGTGTTCACAACAAATTTTACTTGATCCACTGCTCCAATGTTCAGTGTCACGCCGATTAACGTCATTCGAATCCAAAAATGCGTGCTCAAAAATGATTTCGCTGCATTTTCTTAAATAAATTGTTATTCGTACCATGGATCACTTAGATATTATGTTTCTAAACTTATCTCCGTGTCATTCAATCTGTATAAATACGCTGTAGCCCCCGGTTATCTTGCGCGCTAGCTATAAAGATTGTAAAAAACGTTATCCCTCTAATGCAGGGGCCGAGGAATAGCCAAGAGCAACGATACGTTACGCGTGGGGTGGTTATAACATTATTTCGTGTTAAATGAAATCCACGACAATGAAACAGGTGGGAACGAGCAGGCCGTAGCTTGAAAGCAATTGCGTTATGCAGCGTCGGGATATTCAGGATTGAAAATGAGAGCCGCTTATTGGCATACCTATTCAACCCCAGCACACCGTGTGTTTTATTGAATACTATCGATAGGTTTACGAGCTGCGTATGCGGGGTCCTTTCGTTTCCCTCCTCGATAGCTTACGGCGCGGGAAACAATGACCGCCGATATGTTTTTTAAACTCGGCCGTGTAGGTGAATGATAAATTGGTAACGAGCTCTTTGTACGAACAGCATAATTACCAATTGTGCCTCTAGATGAAAATGGAAACGTATGGATAAACACATTGTATCGCGACGTTAAATATGCAGAAAGAAAGCTTCTCTCGATAAAGAAAGTTATTCTCATATTTGTAGCTTTTTGCTTTTTATTGTAGTCAACTGGTAATTAAATTTGTGACAAACTGTGGCTGATGTTGTTTCAAGGTATTTAATGATCTCTGTAAATTCTTCATGTTACAACTTTACTGTTTTTAAAAAAATGGAAATTCTATATCCTCGCTTAGATTTCGTGATCAATAATTAGAGAAAGACTAGAATGGGGTAACGAATGGGAACTATGTCAATTGCACACGAGAACTTCACGAATCCGTCTGTCGCAATCAAATAAGACTAATACCAAGAGTTTCTCCTCTCGAGTGTTCCAATACACGACAATGCACACGCACGCGTGCTCCACATCGCGATAGATCCATCCAATTCGCTTCATCGATCGCCCGCGTGTTTCCGTAGCTCGTTAATTAAACTCGCATTATTCAGTCGGACGAGTTCGAAGACAATCTCTAGCATCGGGACCAATACGATTCCCTTAAATAAAGTATAAATTCCGTGCACCGCCAATTTTTTTCCTCTACCCGCGTCGGGACGAACGATTGATACCTCTGCGATTGCGATGAGTTCATAAACGATTTTATGCGACCGAGTATAACGTCGTTTGGCATTTCACATAACGACGCGCATTCCCGTCGTAAAATAAAAGTACGGCTATCGCTACGCTACGGAAGACTAGTAGTTACGTTACCATTCTCTGGACTGCAACGTTTAGACCATCTCTAACCACGAGTTCGCATTTTTTCATTCTCCCATAATTTTTCTTATGCGCCTCCCGATAAAGGCGAGGTTGACTTAAGCCGAGGTCATAGTAAAACGTAAGGGCAATTGCTCGCGATGTTCAATCTGTCCACAAGCGTCACGTACACCTCGGTTCATAAACTTCCAAATGCTCATCGTCTATCGAAAATATCTGATGAATCATACAATAAATTATAAAT